TATCTTTATCATGAAATTTCTTGTCATCATGATTAAATTTAGTTCAGGAAAGACACCATGCAACTTCTGAAAACATGCCAATCCCTCCTGCATGTTATCCTGCCCCCTATGGCAACATGGGATATGAATAGTTAGGCCTGAAAAAATGTTCTACAAGGCATTACTCAAATATCTTTCAGGAACGTATTTTCAAATGCAGAAAATCTACCAGCATAACACCACCATTTATTAAAATAATCCTTCGCTCCTTGAATTTCTTCATGAATTAGGAAGGAAAAGTTTTGTTTCTCCCCTTAATCAAGTACTTCATGCACAAAGTAGCCTCTTCCAAATCACCTGAGATCTAAACTCCCAGTCCTTTTCAGTAGAAGCTGCAGCTCACTTTTGAAAAACCTACCCTAAAATAATCCTCATATCAGCCTCCGCACAACTTAAAAGACCTATTTTCTAATCAATGATATTAATTAAATTATCACTATTGCTTCAATATCAGTTTTGAAAAAACTGAAGTACTTAAAGTACTTGCTTCATATCTGAGAAAATGAAGGTTCCTAAGAAGGTAATTAATGCTTTGTAATTACAAATCAGTTGTCCCCATGCACTAAAATAATGTATTCATTGTTAAGTATTTATTTTGGATTGAATAAATCATTCTACATTCAAGACTAGGCATCTCAAAATAAGAAGTTTTTCCTTTATAATAAATTGAAGTTCTATCCATTGGCCCCCTCCAAAACTGACTCTGAACACCTTCCAGTTGAAGTGACACGGTTGTTTGTGGGTGATCTTCAGTCAGGCATAAAACTGTAGTTGATAGTAACAACAAGATTCATGCTTTAAGCAGCTTAGCAGAAGCAAAACAGCTCTTGAGTCAATTTATATTTTACTTCTTCAGAAGAAGCTTGATGAATTCTCATGAAAAGCCTCATATTCAAACCTGAATCTCAGCAGCAACTAGTATGTATTCAGCTTCACATTTCCTTGTAATATTCTCAAAGTTCAGCCTTAATGGAGACTTTTATAACAGCTAAATTTTTCTTCCTTTCCCCTTACTATCAAATTAGCATCTCTTCTTTTTCTTTGAGAGATATTTGAATTCTTACACTCAAGACTTTGATACCACACCTCAAAGTTGCTTGAAAAAATTAAGTTATGCTTTATAGGCTACTTCCATATTTTTTTCTGTGGGCAAAAAAGCAGCTACATTTATTATTAAAAAGACTCAACATTGATAGGTAGGTCATTATAAGGGAGGCTCCTGTGCCCTCTTGGATATTGAGAGAGAGAATTAAGAAACTTCACAGATCTGCATAGTTTATCTCAAAAAAATCAGATTGGCAAAACCAAAATTTTTCAGTGTACTCTGAAATATATACTTTTCTTAGTAGTGATTCTGAAAGAATTAAAATATTGTTTCTAAATGTGTTTAAAAGTGTCCATTATTTCAAATGAAACTTAAAGGCATAAACTTCTGAAGAAGTTTGGAACAGACGAAAGAATGGATGAAGAGCTATCATACATGCAATCCCTCTGAATAGTCTACTTTTAACGTAACTTTAACTTTCACATAACTGCTATAAAAACTACAGCTCAAAAGAGCTAGTCAAGAACACTAGAATTTCTAATCCACTGAAATATCTAGAATTATTAAGCCTCCTACTTTAGAAGCAGAATGTTCTAAAATTTAGCTTGTTAACAAAAAGTAATATCTTACTGCAATCAAAACAATGCTTTTATTTTTTAATTAAAAAAGTCAAAATACACTTTAACATAGGGATTCTCAGTTTCATTTTTTGGTGTGTGTTAGGACAGGGTGGGGGGATCAACTTTGCTTTATATACAAGAAAGCTTCTTTGCAGAAGCTTGCAAGAGAACAGTACTACTAGTGAGGAAAGTTTATTACCAATATGAGCTATAATCTTCAACCTAATATCCAGAATAATTATTTGAGCTGATTTCAGGACAGGATACATCTCTTTTCCTTAATTCATCTCAAAACAAGTGTGCTTCATTCCCTCTCCCAACAGAACTTCATTTTTTAGATTGTCTACTTATTTACCTAGAGAGAAGTTCTCAGTTTTCTTAAATGCTTCAAACCAACCATTTTACTTGCCAGTAGTTATCAGTATTTCAGGATAAACTGCCTAATAGTTTTTGCAAGAAGGTAATGTTTTTCATTGTTTTCTATTGTAGGTCATTATACTACTTGGGAACTTGCGTTGAGAAAGTCAAAAAACCCCACAAAACAGTTGTGGGCACAAGAATTACAATTTCCAAGTAGATGAGGTTTTAACAGATCTGAAGAGCCATGTACTATACTCATTATTTAGAAGCAAAACATCAGCATCTGGAGAGGTTGTTAGTTTTTAGTTTATACTATCTCATTATCTGAACACAGAATGCCTGTTCTGTGTGGCATCATTCCAATACAGCTACACCCTATCGAAAATGAATTACGCCTTTAAGCGTAGAATCTCAAATCCACCCAGAAGTCTTCTGTAGTTGGGGAGGAAAGCATAAAAGGCACCATTTCCTTGCACTTTTCACCAGTAAAGACTTCATTAGTTTTCGACAATCAGCAAGAAATCTGTTCCACACTGTCAGATCTCAGCTAAGAAATAAAACCCACAGCTATTATAAGGCTTTACTTATTTAATAATTTGTAATTCTAGATAAACCACCAATCATGACTGAACAGCAGCAAGAAGAGAACACTTTTGGCACGTGTTGCTGTTGAATTCTATTGAACTCACTCCTGCTGACAACGGCTTATGTTTTGATGATGTGTCAGCAAGATTTAAAGCTTAGTAGTTTCTAAATGTTCATGAGCCTCCACATGGTAGAAACAGCCTAGGAAGGCACAACTAAGAAAACAAACCACACACAAAACAGCCCCAAAGTGTAGAAACCAGGTCTGACTAGCAGCACAATTATTCAGAAGCTTCTAAAATTCAGACTAGAGATGGATTTGGAATATAATTCCTACAGTCAAAACAGTGAAACAACTCTGGTGCTATTTTAGGTTTCCTTAGTCAAAAAAGGAAATTTCTGAAGATTCAATTCAAGATATTAGATGTTTACTTACAAGGTACAATACTGTGTTAACATGACTGGGAAGTTAAAGTTTGGCCACAAAAAGCCTGAAGAAAAGGTTTGAACCGTATTGTTTCATAGCTAGCAGTCAAATTAGTGATTTATATATCAATCCTACAAAAGCTACCACCGAACGAATAACTTGATTGACTTTTCAACAAAGTAATTCATTGTTTTACTTATGAGTAGTCTACTGAAGACAGCCCAAGAGACAAGGAAGCAGACTATGCTGGAAATTGTTACGGATTGGTACTTGCAGCAACCTTAAACAACGTTATGTCAGGGCTATCTTGCATTTCAGTGCAACAGCTTTGTTAGGTGATACTGGATGAGCTGATGACTACATTACACAGAACAAAATTCAAAGACACAACATAGTTTTCTGGATAAGGCCAGAGCAGCATTAAAAGCATCAGGCTTCCATTGCATGAAGGCAGTGCTGGATAGAGATGAATTTCTGATATATGTTCATTAGAAGTATATTAGTGTATATGAAGTCTTAAAATGTAGTCATATGTTTACTGAACTGCTGAGAAATTTTGGTGAGAATATGTAGTAGCTGAAAAAATTTGGACTGTGGATGCTGACAGGTAACAGTTAATTGTGTGTATGAGTGTCTGAAACAGAACTTTCAAACTCCACAGCCAGCAAGAGGCAGGCTTCTGCTGGAACTAGTAAAGGCTGGCTGTAAATTCCGGTAACACCTGAACTAAACACAAGCAGTACTTACTGCATCCTCCAATCAGTAAAGAGACAAGGAATAGAATCACCAGTTCAGAGGCTGATCACATGCTGTGCTTCTGCATATAGACTAGACCAAAAAACAGGATGCAAGTGGGAAGAACCTGGCAATAAAAAGCTTGGAAATGGGTGAGATCCATAACACCACACACCTGGGGATGCCCAGGGTCCTCAGGCAGTGATACCTGAGACTGCTAACTGAGCAGCTGTGCAGTATGAAATCAATACAGCATCCCACCCAGCTTCTCTGGGCAAGCAGTTATCTCCTCAGTGGGAAGAAAAGTCAACACTGGGTAACTGCAACTCTGCAGCAAAACCAGACATCACAACCCAATCTTATGCCCTGGGACACCGAAGAACAAATCCATATATGACAGCCAAAAGAAGGAAGTAATGATTAACATCAGTTACAGCTAAACATGAACAAAATCAACAAAAAGAACATTTGAGTAGTTTTAATTTTTATTTAAATTAGCTTAAATTTTAACCAGGGCATCCAAGTAGTAGTATTTTCTGCAGCTTCTTGATATCCTCTGGATACAGACTGCAGGGAACTTCTAGACACTTAACATGAGGATCTACCATAAACGTTTGAACTTTTTTTTTTTTTTTTTTTTTTTTTTTTTTAAAAAAAAATTTTCTTTTTTGAAATTTTGCCTGGGT